TTGAATTGTGCTGATAAATCAATTCGGCTATGAAGCTCGAGACCCCCTTTCTTATTCTAGACTCTCCTTCTCATACCTTTACTCTTCTGTTTCCTGTATGCTTTTGTAACCTGAGTAGAAGGTCCAAAACACTTCCCAGACTTGCCCAAACCCACTTCACTGATTGCCTTAATTTGTAATTGGTGCTGGGCCGAAACCCCACAAATAGGTTGAAAATTATTCTCAACATTAGTTGGAATTTTTGAACCTCTAATGTCACCTAGGCCTTGGGCCTAATTAAAAGTGTTCCCCCCCATCTTGGGCTTGGGCTTTGCCCAACACCACCTCAAGATTTAAACCAACCCCATTACAAACAGAACCACTCACACTTCTAATGAAACCTGGCGTACATAATACATCATTCACATTTGTACGACCTCCACTTACACCTTACTTAGAGCCCACCAAATTGACTTCAGGGCTGACATTACGTGCTCCACATGCCACCTCCAAAATACTGATTGTCTCTTCCACTACAGAAACACTCTGCTCACTATTTATCTTCCTATCATCCTCTGACACAGTAGGCTCCCCTACTGCCACAACAACTCTTTGATCACTCATCCTCTGACACAGTAGGCTCCCCTACTGCCACAACAACTCTTTGATCACCAACTCCTACCTTGGTAGCTTTATCGCCCCCCTGCACCACCGGCAAGTTGCCCAAATCTGAATCGGAAGCCTTATTAGTGGCTTCATTGTTTGAACTCTGGCTCCCGGTGAGAACGACAGCTGCACTGTTGCATGACTACCTTAGAGATGATAATCTGTTCCTCACAGATCTTGACTGGGTACAAAATACCTTTGCAATCTAAGAAAATGGACGCGTTAATAGATTCCATACAGGATGTAGCTATCCTTACCTTACCACATTGCAAGTTTTTTAACTTCAGAGTGTCATCATCTAACCCAATAACCTTCCCCCACTGCCTCCATATATTGTTGAAAGTGTTGAAGCTCCATAAGTTAGGAGGCACCCTATAATAGCTTAGCCACACAATTCGTTCTTGATCAAAGGACATACCTTCACTACAACAAAAGTAACCTATGGTGACGAAAAATAGTGAAGAAAATAAGATTTGTCACTAAATAAAAATAATTCGTGAGGAATTTATAAATTTTGTCACATATAATAAAAAAATGAAAATGATAGGTGACAAAATTTATTTTCGTCAATAAATACTTCATTTTAAGTGAGGAAAAATTAAGTTTCGTCACCAAAAATTTTCCCGCTACTTTTTTTTGGTGGCGCCAAAATTTTGGGACTTTTGGTGAGAAAAAAAGTTGTCACTAATTATAAAATTATTTGTGAGGAATATATTTTCGTCACCAAAACATTTTAATATTTTTGATATCTTTTAGTGAGGAAATAATATTGTCACCAATTTTGGTGGAAAATTTTTGATATATTG